TATTTTTCCTCAAGAAGACACCCTAGAGCTTATTTTCAGGGCATGTGTTATTTAAGAACAGTATAACAATCTACATTTATTCAAATAGAGTAAAGTCGTCTTCTTCTGGAACATCATCATAACTCTCCAAACCCCAAATTCCAACCTGAATTTCTTGTGACTCTATTTCCTTAATAACCATTGGCCCCCATCTCTCATTTGGAGCACTAGAGCTCTCATGGGGCAGATGAGAAGGGCTGCTGGTCTTCTTTCCCACTCCACAACGACATGCATGGGTTGTGCCCTGCGTAGCCACGCCCATCACTAGGGCTTATTTTCATAGCCACGCCCATCACTAGGGCTGATTTTCATAGCCACGCCCATCACCAGGGCTGATTTTTCATAGCCACGCCCATCACTGGGGCTGATTTTCATAGCCACGCCCATCACTAGGGCTGATTTTCATAGCCACGCCCATCACCAGGGCTGATTTTTCATAGCCACGCCCATCACCAGGACTGATTTTCATAGCCACGCCCATCACTAGGGCTGATTTTCATAGCCACGCCCATCACTAGGGCTGATTTTCATAGCCACGCCCATCACTAGGGCTGATTTTCATAGCCACGCCCATCACTAGGGCTGATTTTCAGGGTAGGGCTTCTATTGTGCAAATGCTTAGAAATCCTGCTAGGGCTTATTTTATGGGTAGATCTTATTTTCGGGGAAACACAGTAGCATATGCTAGAAAAGCTGTGATTTATTTTGATTTCTCTTTTGCAGAGAAATTAATCAACAGAATTCCCTCAGTCTTCCAAGCAATTGAAAAAACTACCATTTCCCCCCGATTTATTGCTTCACACCTTTATTTATAATTTTCTCACTACCTACTTTATCTTTTACAACCTGACTTCCAGTGTCACTATTTCACCAAATCTTCTCTCACTAAAGCTTTCTTCTTTATTCAGATTTGTCTAGAACTCATCTTTGACCCTACTTTCATCTTTGGATGGCACTCAGAGCTCATCATACCCTATGATATCACTCATTCATAGTCTAACAACAACAACAAAAAAAAAGACACCCAATGAAGACAAAGACCAGGGAGAGAAAATACATATAAATGAACATAGCCTCAGTGAGAGGCAGAGCTGAGTCACTGCAGAAGCTCAGTTAGGAAGGATTTTTATTTTAAACCCAAGAAGAGCCTTAGCAGTCATTCAGGCCAATGCCCTCATTTTACAGATGAAATAATGAGGTATAGAAAATGTGTAGGGATGTCTTTGACTGCAAGTGATTAAAAAAAAGAGAGAGAGAAGCTCAGTTTGGCTTAAACAATAAGGAAATATATTCTCCCACATAACGTGAGGTCCACACACAGTGCAACCAGGACCCCATAGCTGCTCCTCTCTGCAGCTCTCCTGGCCACGCCCCCTTCCGCGTGTTAGCGTCAACTTCCGCTATGCCACCTTCCACGTGTTAGCCTCAACTTCCGGATGTGAGCAAGATGGCTGCCGCAGTTTCAGGACTTTGACTTCAGAGTCCTGGGATTTGGGAAAGAAATGTAAAGGGAGAGGGAACGTGTGTCTTTTCTTGAGTCTCTTTTCAGAAGCAAAGAATCCTGACCAAGAAGCCCTGAGACTTTCCCTCTCGTCACTTGCCCATTTTTAAAGCATCCCTGGCAAGGGAAATGGGACTCCAAGACTGGCTTGGTGTTAGCCCTAGACTAAGCCCGGGGTGGACGGAGTGCTGGGGAGTGAAGGTTAAATAAATTAGCCATGATCAAAACATGAGTTTTGAGAGACATTCATTCTTACATTTGTCCTACTACACTTCTAAGAACTTGCTTCTTCTCCTGCTCTCCAATGATGGACTCAACTCTTCTTTCTTTTTGCAGACTTTTCTGAGAAGCTTATTTGTTTTTGTAATTATCTTAGATTTCAGTGGAATCAGCATAGGGTATTGGTAAGCATTCAATTTAGAGCCAGACTGCCCAGGGTTCAAATATAGACCCATCACTGCTTCTAACTATATGTGTCACCTTAGATATTTTATTTAACTTCCTTATCTATAATAGGGAATGATAAGAGAATCGACCTCATAGAGAAGCTGTGAGAATTAAGTTAATATATATTAAGTGCTCAGAACAGTGCCTGTTACACAATAAGTCCTCTATTAAGTGTGTGCTGTTATTAATAAGGGGCATCTACTGTTTTTGCCTGCCCGGCATCTCTTTCCACATCTTCTGATAAGTGTTTCTATTTTCCTTTGAAGAACTACCCCTCTGCCATGCCATAAGATCCTGGCATAATTCTTAGTATGAAGAGCTCCCAACCCCCAGTGGGCATATAATAGGCACAAGGGCCAAGATAGGCTAATCTTACCATTTTCCCCTGGAATCTGTATCTTCAGCAGAATGACTCAAACAAAGAAACCAGTTAAAATCAGTCTATCTGAAGTCAAAGCCTTAAAGAATCCCTGAATTCCTGCTTCCTAGATCCCTAGAATTGTTTTGTTCTTTCCAAAATCTGATTAATAATCCTTCCTTAGATTCTTTGCTACCTTGTACCCTTTAATAAATTTTCTTTTTGCTGAAATTGGCCAAAATTGATTTATGTTGTTTGTGTAATCGTTATTTTGAACAAATAGGACTCCCCAAATTAAATCACGAAGTAACTTTGTCTTTAATCTCTTTAAATCTGTTCAACAGTCTAGCTATTATCTGGCACCTAAGCACACATAATATAGAAGTCAAGACAGTGGCTCTGAGGTCAAACATTCTGAACTCATCTCTAGCTCCACCTCCTACTAACTATATTACTTAATGTCTTTTTGCCTCAGTTTCCTTACCTATAAAATGGGGGAATAACCTCATTAGGTTATTGTAAACCTTAAAATGACTTCCCAAATGTGAAATGCCTGGAAGTGTGCCTGGCACATAGTAAGTCCTGAAAAATGTGAACAGGGCAGATGGCAGTAGTAGTCCAATGAGGTTGCCTCTCTTTTTTATAACCCACCAGGTAAGCTGGACACGGTGGCTCACGCCTGTAATCCTAGCACTCTGAGAGACCAAGGTGGAAGGATCGCTCAAGGTCAGGAGTTTGAAACCAGCCTGAGCAAGAGTGAGACCCTATCTCTACTAAAAATAGAAAGAAATTAGCTGAACAACTAAAAATATATAGAACAAATTGGCCAGCCATGGTGGTGCATGCCTGTAGTCTCAGCTACTCAGGAGGCTGAGGCAGGAGGATCGCTTGAGCCCAGGAGTTTGAGGTTGCTGTGAGCCAGGCTGACGCCACGGCACTCACTCTAGCCTGGGCAACAGAGTGAGACTCTATCTCAAAAAAGAAAAAAAAAAAAACACTGACCATTCCTATTTCTATAGCTGTGTTCATATCAGCCCTTGTCTCTTTTCTAAATCCTTCAAGACATAATTAATTCAAGCACTACCACTTCCAAAAGGCCCACATTGCTCTACAAAGATCATAACCTGATTAACCTGGTACTTTACTTGTAGGAATTATAATTTGTAGCACATACATTAGTTTTGATTTCATATAATTTCTCTTATGGGTATAAATCATGACTCCCCAACAAGAAAAGTGTTCTTGAAAGCAAGAATGATATTTTATGTTTTTTTCTATCCTTAATACTGCTTAGCTTAGAGTAAGGCTCACAGTATATCCTTAATAATTAACTTCTGAATTGCCCTCTGAACAGCTAACAGTATTTTCAGTCATAATTACTTCTGGATTTGTATATCTGCAAGCCCTTAGCCCTGTAGTTTTATTGTATGTATAAGCATACAAAAGGCAAGGTCTAGAACTTTTCATTTTCTTTCCACACTGGCCCATACACACAAGGCACCTAATATACATGTTATTAACTAGCTACAAAAAAGCTGGAAATTTCAGGAGCTGCAAATTCATTCCAAATATGATAGAAAATTCCAAATGTATCTGCTACTGTTAAGATTTGCAACTATAATGCTGAAAGATCCTGTTTTATTTAAAAATCAAAAATATAAAGATAAGAGAAACAGATACTCTTAAGACATTTTTTCCCCTCCTGTAATGCATTGTTTTCAAATAAAAATAATTCTCAGGCCGGGAGCGGTGCCTCATGCCTGTAATCCTAGCACTCTGGGAGGCCGAGGCAGGAGGATTGCTCAAGGTCAGGAATTTGAAACCAGCCTAAGCAAGAGTGAGACCCTGTCTCTACTAAAAATAGAAAGAAATTAATTGGGGCCAACTGAAAATATACAGGAAAAATTAGCTGGGCATGGTGGCACATGCCTGTAGTCTCAGCTACTTGGGAGGTTGAGGGAGGAGAATCCTTGAGCCCAGGAGTTGGAGGTTGCTGTGAGCTAAGCTGACACCACACCACTCTAGCCCAGGCAACAGAGTGAGACTCTGTCTCAAAAAATAATAATAATAATTCTCAGAAGAATTATTGATGAAAGACAAAGCCGAGAAGGTGACTCCATATATTTTTATTGTCATTTCTGGGGAAATGTTCTTTTAGTTTTGAGACTCTGCATCACTTACAGTATACTATCTTCTCTCTTTGATTTCTCTAAGCATGTGAAAAAACATACTTAGCAATTAAAACTTCTCATTGATGTCCAAGAATATATCAGTTACATATAAAAAGATAGCACTGTGTCATAGCTATGTAGGTTGCTTCTTCATCAACTAAGAAAAAGAAATTGAGGAAGCCTAGACTGAATTCCATGTGAAACCATCTGTGAAATGGAGATGCATAAACTAAGTCACTTAACCAATCTTGGGAACAAGCTTATGTTACATCTAAATGACAACTCTATACAATTCCATACTTTCTGGCTCATGGGCATGTTTAATGGATATGGTTATTGTTTTCTAAATGCTACCTACAATTAATTTTTCAACCAGACCAACTCTTCATTGTTTCCTTTCTATGGGAATACTCAGTCTAGGAGGGAAAAAAAGGGGAAGAGGGAAAAGGATGAGATTTTTTTTAAAGAAAATTACATATCTTACTTGGCTTGTGCAAGACAGCCTGGGGCAACCACGCTGTGATTCTCCTCCATGTTCTGGAGTGCAGTGAGCTCTACCATGCTAACCATCACATCATTGGTGTGGCCTGGAAGCTGAGGAAGTGCTGAAATGATCTTCTCTACTAAGTTGTCTCCGTGATGTCCAACTGCCCCTATTGAAGCAGGCAAGAAAATGAAACTTCACAAAATGGGAGGGCAAAGTAAGCTGGATAAATGTTTTATAATGCTCCTTCCAACAAAAATAACCCAAACCTAATATTTTGCCCCTTGTAACACTATTTACATTCACAATATCTAGTCAATGTATGCCTCATGGGTTGGACTTGGTGCTCCATGAGGGCAGGCATTATGTCTGCTATGGTTACTACAATATCCCCAGCACCTAGCACTGTGCCTGCATACAGCAGGCATCAATAAATATTTGCTTAATAATTAAATAAATTATCAGCATATAGCCAGTCAGGTAAGTAGTGCCATCGTAATAATACTGTCCTGAAATTTTAAAGCCAAATTTTATTTTTTTATTTTAGTGATGAAGACACTAAGGAATTAAGGGAGAAAGTCATGTGGATGGCTGAAGGAAGAAAATCCCAAGAAGAGCTGTGGAGAAATTTCAAAGGCCCGGAGGCTGGGACATGCTTAGCGTGTCTGAAGAATGGCAAGGTAGCCAGTGTGCCTAGAAAATACTGTGTGAGGAAAGATCAGTGGGAGATGATTGGAGAGAGAGAAACACAGGCAGATCATGGATATCCTTGAAAACAATAGCTAGCAACTTACATTTGACAGTAGGCATGATGAGAGAACATGGGAGGGTTGGGTGCAAGCAAATGATATGTCATATTTATGCTTTAATGGGATCACATAAGAAACTGGTTTAAGTGTTTGCTTATCTGTATATCTTTTGTACTTTTAAAGTTATTTTTACTATTTGCAGCTTTACTGTGTCAAACGCTGCTCTGAAGTTCAATAAAATGAGTATGATAACTGAACATTGGATTTGATGATATGAGAGGCCACTTTCATTGAGAAAGGAAAGTTCTGAGAAGTATTGGAAAATAAAACATAACCGAAGTGGAGTCAAGAGAAAATTGGAGCAGAAGATTGTGGAGCCAGCAAGTATAGACAACTCTTTCAATTTTGCTAAGAAAAAGAAGCAAAAAAAAAAAAAAAAAAAAAAAAAATGGAACTGAAGTTACGGGAGCTTTAAGGTTCAAGAAAGAACATATTCCATCCTATTTGTATGTCAATGGGGAAAATTCAGAGAAAAGGAAAAAATGAGATCTAGGAAAAGGGGAGGATATTTGAAAGATGGTTAATCTATGAGAGAAGTGAAAAGAGAGAGGATTTAGTCTACATAGGTGAAAAAGTTGACATTAGAATGCAGGGACAGGACATTTCTTTTTAATGGAAGGAAAGACAGACACGGATACTGATGTAGAAAGGGTGGTAGGTCTGGTATAGGAAGATATGGAACTTTTCTAATGGCTTATATTTTCTCAGTGGCAGTAGAAGCAAGAAAGCTTAGGGTGAGTATGGAGAAGGTGTTCTGGAGGCTTGAGGAAAGAGAAAGTATGGAATGATTGCTGTTGGATGGCAACTTTGTCTTCCTATGTGCCCTTATTTTCTAAATCATTCTTGATTGCTTCATATTGTCAGATTATTTAGAGGACAGAACTTACGCTCACCTCATTTGTTTTTGTATGTATAAAAGAGCCTTGTGTAAAGAGTATGTATAAAGAGTATGTAAAAGAGTATGTATATCACACAGAAGTAGAAACCTAAAAAAAAAAAAAAAAAAAAAAAGAGTATGTATAAAAGATCTGTACAAGGAACAGATCCCGCAGTTGTAAAGGAGCCATTGCCACGATACTAGACAGTGGACATTAAGGTTTGTCTAACTGAAGTCTTTGGGGAGAACACAAAATTGTGTGAACTTTTTGATTAATTATGAGATAATAGGTAACATTTTTGGCATAAAGAAATGAAAGATAAGCAGTATATACTGTGCATTCAAAAAACTCAACAAGCGTATATTTATCAAGTGTTATCTTTTTAATTCTCTAAGAGTTTATGATGCTACAATTATTACTTATATTTAAATAACAGACTGGACATGTGGTTTTTCCAATTACATAATTAACCTTACACCTCGGTACTACTATTTAGCTTACTTTCTATTTTATGATCTGAAAATTAATCTTATGATGGTCAAAAATTCAAATACACCTATTGTGGTTTTTTATAACTTCATTCAACTTTTTTTTTTCTGACTTACTAAAGGGAATAGTTACCAATGTCAGTTTCTTGATTATTCTCCCTAAACCTAGCTGTGGCTAGCCTATACTACTAGCCATATTATATCTGCCTAATTAGAGAACAATAAAGTTGACTTTTGAAAATAACATAAAGATAAGACACTTTCTGATACTGGAACATGTTAAGTATCACAGTGTTTTTATTTGACCTTTTTTAAGGATTACATTTGCTCCTTGTGTATAAATAATTAATATATTATTGCGATTTGAGATTATCTACCCAATCGTTAACAGAATAAGATCTAAGAATAAACCAATAAAGACTTGAAAATGTTTCTTACAATTCTTTTATCTCATTTACTAGTGACATTTAAGTTCAACTTCACTTTTTAACATTAATTTCAAGAAATCTAAACTACAACTCTCTATGGTAATTTCATGTTCTGTTATACAGTAGTTTTCCTTCCACCGGCTCATCTGTTAATCCATCTCCAACAAATCAGAATCCTCTTATGAAGGACTGTTGTAAATACTGGCATCTGCAAATTACTAAAAGGTTCCCAGGTGGACAGTTTTCCTCGATGTCAGCTGTTATTCCATTTTTGCAATATCTTGGGCTACACGAAGTAGTTTAACAATTCAATGCACATCCAAGATATTTTTACCCATTACGGCATTTAACAAATTGTATTCTAATTGCTAATTCACTCCTCTATATCCCCCTCTAGACTATAAACTCTGTGAGATTAGGGACTGTGTCCATCTAGTTCATCTTTGTATCCTTAAGCTGACGTGTAGTAAAAGGCCTATAAAATATATGCTGAATCGATGAAATTCATTCCCCACAACCTGGAGAGTGGTTATGACGAACTCCGCAGCAATATCACTTACCTGTGAGATCCAGAGTTCTGTCCACAAAGACCACTGATGCCCTGCCCGCGGCAGTCTTTCTCCTGTTCTTGGCTGGGGCATAATTGGCCAGATCTGCGGCGATGACCCGGCTTAGGGAACCCACGGCGAAACACTCCTCGCGGACTCCTAAATGCTCACACAGAGAACTGAGGCCTGACACCAGGCACCTGATCTGCAGCAGCAGCTCCGGGGTTAGAGCAGCGGCGTCCACCTCACCCAGGCTCCCCAGCCTCCTCTTATCCGGTCGGGCGCTATTCAGAAGATGCACATCCTGGGGCAGCAGTGGGAAAAGGGAGGCAAAGGCTGGAGTCAAGGCCAGGTGCGGGGCAGCAGGGGCGAGCAACAGCGGGACGTGGAGGACTTCGGCCGTGTAGTTCATGTTGCCCATCCACTCACAGAGCTTCTCCTCCAGCTGCTCGAACACCGGGTGCTGCCCCTCCAGCTCCGCCGCCGCCGCCGCGGGGACGTGGTTGGCGGTGAGGTGGACGGCGTGGCCCACGGCCGTGACCACCACACAATACTGGAAGTGACTGCGGCGGATGATGTCCCGGAGAGTCTCCACGGTCCGGCCTTTCAGCAGGCCGCTCAGCACGAACGCTGCCTTGGGCTGCCCGGCCCCGCCACCCGGGGCATCGGGCTCGAACTCCCGCAAGTGGCACGCGGGGACCCCCACCGCCTCCAGGAGCCGCGCGGACCCGCAGCCCCAGTGCAGGCTCTCGGCGCAGGCGGCGTCCAGGTAGACCACGGACCGTTTCACCTTGGCCAGCACCTGCTCCCAGCCCTGCTGGGTAAAGGACAGCACGCCGGGGGCGCTCATGCTTGGGGATGCGCAGGATTCGGGGGACTCGGGTGCCGGAATTTCTCTCAGAATTCACCGCTTCCGGGAACCGGGCTCCTGGAGGCTTTGACAGTCAACATGGTACACGTGGTCCTGCCTCTGACGCGCCCGCGGCGGCGCGCGGTGATGACGTCCCGAGCGGTGATTGGCTAGTGCGGAGGGCGGGATTGAGGAAGGATGGCCCGGACCGGGACCGGGTGGGCAGGGCTCCGGGCTCCTTTGGGGAAACGAGAAGGGGGAACTTAGGAAAAAGCTGAACTGCATATTCTTTTCGTCCCTCTGCCTGTCTGCTCAGATTACCTCTGCGTGCTCCCTGAGAAATCTCAGAAATCTCAAATCTGAAATTTTGACATTGTCCTGGAATATGAACACATCGCTCTGAAAGAACAGCCACTTTTCCCAATCTAAACTCAGAGCAGCCAGAAAAGATAATAAAAACAACCGTGTGTAATTACTTCGTAGTTTATATAGATTGCTGTCACGTTATGGCACTAAAGCCTCATAACCCGTTGGTCTCATTTTGCACTTTCTCCGTCTTTCCTGCCTCATTGTCACTACTAATTCTTGATCTGCTACAAAACTCCTAGAATCCAGCAGTGCCCCAAGTGAAGAAAGGCTGGAAAGAGTTCAAGAGCGAGCTAGCTAGCAACAAAAAGCTTATGGAGAGAGAAACAGACGAGAGATCCTACTCCACAGAGTAGGGGTCCTATTTCTGAGCAGGAGGGGGATTCTTTATGGGACAATAGTAACATTTTTAAATGTTAAAAAAATCCCATTAGGTGGAGCGCAGTGGCTCACGCCTGTAATCCTAGCACTCTGGGAGGCCGAGGAGGGAGGATTGTTTGAGCCCAGGAGTTAGAGACCAGCCTGAGCAAGAGCAAGACCTGCCTCTACTGTAAATAGAAAGAAATTAGCCAAACAACTAAAAATAGAAAAAATTAGCAGTGCACGGTGGTACATGCCTATAGTCCCAGCTACTCGGGAGGCTGAGGCAGGAGCATTGCCTGAGCCCAGGAGTTCGAGGTTGCTGTGAGCTAGGCTGATGCCACGGCACTCTAGCCCATGCAACAGAGTGAGACTGTGTCTCAAAAAAAAAAAAAAAATCTCTTTAGGAGACAGCTGTACGTGACCAGCATTGTCTTGAGGGCAGGCCAGAAAGGTTAAACATAAACTATTGTCACAGAAAGGCAAGTGCAAATAGTTTGTAAGGCATCGGGCTTAGTAATTCATCCATCCTTGGATGGTCACCGCCGCTGGGGACTTGCTGGCAACTTCCTTGTTCAGGGTGGTTAGGGTCTGGCATCCACCAGATAGGCTGTACTCAGGCTCTCTCCACCTTCCTTTCCTGCCTTATCCCTACATTACTTTCTCTCTGTCCCTGCTGTCACACAAGCCAAACTCACCTGGACAGTTGCAATGACCCCCACCATTCCTGGCTTTCCATCTCTTCCTCCTCCAATTCAGTTTCTTCCTAATAAACCAAGTTAGTCCTACCATTTTCCAGCTTCAAAGCTTCTCCTGACCCAACTGCCTACAGGGTACATCCAGACTCTTTAAAAGGCACCAAGATCCTTCCTGATTTCTTAATTTCTCTCCAGCTCCTCCCAGCGTGGAGAGGAGTCGTACCGGCACAAATGAAGTCTACAGACTGAACCCAGAATGTTTTGTGGGTTCAGTTTGTTCAACCAATAGTTTTAAATACTTACTAAGTATAATCACTGTGCTAAGCTCCAAAGATGGAATGGTTAATAAAATACCTTACCTGATTCACAAAGAGTTTATATCTGGTAAACTATTACCAAAAAAAAAATCATTTCAATAACTTTCATGTGAGAGTTTCCCTAACTCATCACCACCATCACCCTAACTCCTCCCTTTCCACCCAGTACACAGCACTCGATTGATATACTTGCTAAGAGCTTCCATATCATGGGCTAAGTTTTAACACCTATTTTCTTTAACATATCTGTTTTACTAACTTATTTACTAGATGCCTGGTATCCCCAACACCTAGAACATAAGCATTCAATAAATGTTGAATTTATTCAACAATTGAAATGTTCAATTAATATCCATATAATAATACATTCCACCAATTTTTAATAAATATGTATGATATTCAGAGACTGCTTTGGGCACTGAGGATATAAGGAAAAATAAGCCATAACCCTGACTTGAAAATAATTATAATGAGGCCAGACGTGGTGGCTCGTGCTTGTAAATCCTAGCACTCTGAAAGGCCAAGGCAGGAGGATCACTTGAGGTCAGGAGTTCAAGATCGGCCTGAGCAAGAGCAAGACCCCCATCTCTACAAAAAATAAAAAAATAACAAATAATAATTATAATGCAATAAAAGGACCTACACATGTAAAACAAACAAATGCAATAAAATGTTACAGAAGCAATGATTTAAAAAAATGTACAGGAGTTATAAAAAAAAGAAAAAGAAACTCTGATTGAATGAAGGAAAAAGGGAAGTGGTCAGAAAAAGTTTCATATAGGATATGAGTTTTGAGTTGCCATCAAAGAAAAGCAGGTGTTCACCAGGTGGACAGGATAAGGAGGAGGATTCTTAGCAGTCCAGGCAGAGACTGCTGCAAGAACAAAGGCATAAAACAGTACAACATGTTCTCTGGAACTACAAATGGTTTACTATCGCTGGCGTGTTTGTATGAAGAAGGCCCAAGAAGAAACAGGAGCAAGGAACTAGAAAAGAAAGGAGTGGATAGATCAAGGAGACTCTTATTTTCAAATCCAAATAGTAGCAGCCAGTTGGGAACTGTTGAAAGTATTCTTAGGAGTGGAAATAATTTGTTCACATCTGGGTTTTAGAAAAAAAGATTCTAGTAGAGAGATGGAAAATAATTTGAAATGGAGCAAGATTTAGGGCAGAGAGAGCAATTAGGAAATGGTACCAGCAACAATTCTGCGGAGAATTGATAAGGATAACAATGAAAGAAGTGGACTTAGTGGGGTATAAAAAGAAATGGGAAGAAGAGAATATTAAACGGCTTGGTTATTAGTTTAGCAGCGAGGGGAGGGCAGAAGGAGAATTTCAGGTTAACACTCAGCTTTCTGTTTGCATGAGTGGCAAATGGCAGCCACTGATATTTGAAAAGCCAGAAAAGAAGCAAATTGGGTAATAAATATACTAAGCTCAGTCAGGACATGTTTTTGTTTGTTTAATTGTGGTAAACTACACATAACATAAAATTTACCATCTTTACCATTGTAAAGTGTATGGTTCAGTGGCATTAAGTACGTTCACGTTGTTGTGTAACTAATCACTAGAACTTTTCACTGCAAAACTGAAACTCCGACTCCATTAAACAACAACTCCCTGTTTCTCCTCCACCCCCATGCCTACGCAACCTCCATTCTGCTTTCTATTTTTGTAAGTTGACTATTCTAGGTACACCATATAAGTGGAATCATACCATATTTGCTTTGTTGTGATTGGCTTATTTCACTTAGCATAATGTTCTCCAGGTTCATGCATGTTGTGACATGTGTCAGAATTTTCTTTCTTTTCAAACTCCTGACCTCGAGCAATCCGCCCACCTTGGCCTTCCATAGTACTAGGATTACAGGCATGAACCACTGCACCCGGCCAGAATTTTCTTTCTTTTTATTTTTTTATTTTTATTATAATTTTTTTTGTTCTGCTCAAGAAACTGAAGTCTGTGTTCTTTCTTTGTAAAGCTGAATATTATTCCATGGTGTATATATATATCACTTTTGTTTATCCATTCATCTGTCAATGGGCATTTGGATTGCTTCCACCTTTTGGTTATTGTCAATAGTGCTGCTCTGAACATGGGTGTACAAATATCTCTTTGAGATCTTGATTTTAGTTCTTTTGTGTATGTATCCAGAATTGGAATTGCTGGATTACATAGTAATTCTATTTTTAACTTCTTAAGGGAACTCTGTCTTCCATAGTGATTGCACCATTTTATATTTTTACCGCCAATGCACAAGGGTTCCAATATCCCTACATCCTGGCCAACACCTGATATTTTCTGGCTTTTTTGATAGTAGCCATCCTAATAGGTGTCGGGCATGTAGTTTTTTTTTTTTTTTTTTTTTGGTAGATGAAGTCAGCTTCCACGGGCATGTAGTTTTGAAGATACTTGTGGGACATCCAGGTAGAAATGTCTGGTAAGCTGTTGGATGTATGATTCTGGAATATAGGAAAGACATCTGGTAATTTGGGAATCATTAGTAAATGTGTGTGCTTCAGATAGTTTGTAGAGAACATAAAGAAGAAAGAGGACAATGGGGTAATGGAGAGAGCTCTAAGCAGCATTCCTGTATGGGAAGAAGAAGGGAAACCAGGCTGGGCGTGGTGGCTCACGCCTGTAATCCTAGCACTCTGGGAGGCCGAGGCAGGTGGATTGCTGGAGGTCAGGAGTTCGAAACCAGCCTGAGCGAGACTCCATCTCTACTATAAATAGAAATAAATTAATTGTCCAACTAAAAATATATATACAAAAAATTAGCCAGGCATGGTGGCACATGCCTGTAGTCCCAGCTACTAGGGAGGCTGAGGCAGGAGAATCATCTGAGCCCAGAAGTTTGAGGTTGCTGTGAGCTAGGCTGATGCCACAACACTCTAGCCTGAGCAACAGAGTGAGGCTATGTCTCAAAAAAAATAAAGAAAGAAAGAAAGAAAAGAAAAGAAACTAATGGGCATGCACATAAAATGGAACAAAAGTAGGGACTGAAAGTTAAATGCAGAGTTGAGAATCAGTCTGCAAGAACTGGGAGAGAATAAGCACAGATACTGTCTTAGTTCTGACTGCTAGAACAAAAATACTGTGGACAGGGTGACAAACAGTAGAAGTTTCTACCTCATAGTTCTGGAGGCTGGGAAGTCTGAGATCAGGGTACCAGCGTGGTCTGGTTCTGGTGAGGGCTATTTTTCTGGTTCATAGATGGCTGGCCATATTTGTGCTGTGCCTTCACATGGCAGGGAGCAGAGAAGAGAGGAAGCAAGTTCTCCTGTCTCTTCTTATAAGGGCACTAATCCCCTTCCCATTAGGGAGGACCTAATTACCTCCCAAAGGCCCCATTTCCAAACACCAACACACTGGGGATTAAGGTTTCAACATATACATTTTGGAG